GAACAAGAGGAAAGTAAAAGATTATGCTGTGAAAACATCGAAAATATCCGCGTGCAATCACTTAAAAGTCTCCAAACTTTTCCAATAAACTAATATTGAACCACGTACCCGGCGCTTGTCCACATTTTCCTCCCGAAGACCAGTTTTAACTGTATTTGACACGTGCTTTCGATATATGGAGACAGCATTGATGACTTTTTGATTTCGATGCTCAAGGGCATTGACGATCTTCAGGTCATCATCATCTATTTTGCTCGAGCTGGAAAAAGAGCAATAACGATTATCGTCAGTTATAAGAATCGATAAGAACACAATGAAACTTGGATATCAACACTGGACTGGATATGCATTGACTTCAATGCACACTTTCCAACTTATGTTTCGCCTATTTATAGCGGTTTTCGTTAGGGGCCATTCTGCAGTTTTGGGTCAGTGATATAACAGACTGCGAATTTTCGGAGGGGGGGGGGGGTACCGGACGTGTCAGAGTGAACAGCGGAAAGTGCACAGCAGGCCACCTACCGCGTCGCCCCTTTCCCCTCCTCAAAATTGCATTCTACTGTACAGGTTAACATAGTCTTGTAGTGGTCCCTGTGTGGCGCCCGAAATGTTTCTGTCAAATGGGCACGCAGGAACACTAGGCCGGGGCGAATCCGGTTGTCCGCGCTTTTCTAGGGTCTTCCAGGACAGAGGAAAACCGAGACCAATCAGAGTTGTCCTGCCGCGATCAGGGTCAAGCATCCGTTGAGGAATGCTTATCGGAGGGGTCGTATTTGGCTATGCAGTAGAAAAGGGAAATCTACTACTGAGCAGTGGCTCTGTTCTGCCCTTGGTCCTGCATTCCTGGAGTTAAGAAGAATAAAGGATAAAGTCTTCGCCGTTGATCAATCCCTTTGTGGGATGCGGCACGCATTCTACTTCCATTCAGAATCGTAGTGGCTTAATTGAATGCGATAGCCTATACACTTGCGGGGCCAGCCGATGTACAAGTCAGTGTCTTATCCTCCCAGACGAATCTGGTACCAATTTACCGTCCCCGGAGGGTAGAAGGCTTGGTTGGCCTGGGCGGAGTCGACCCGGGGACCGCACGAGTGGTAAGCGTGCCATTTGTCACTACACCACCTCCGCCTCATTCCCGAAGTTATAGTCCCTTAAATGCTGAAAACCCGCGTGTTCAAGAAGTTTTCATTGCTATTCAGGAAAAATCCTCAACGGCACGTTTTTTT